GCTTTAGTGCTTATTTTCAAATTTAGATTCTTATGCAGCTAAACTAATAAATATATAAAAATTTTAGAAACATTGAGAAAAGAGAAACAAGAGAAAAGAGCAGATTAAAAGTATGATTAAAATATAACTTGTAACGAAATCCCTTTGATTCCGAAATTTGTTCAGTAACTTCCATGTGTGCCATTGGAAATACTAACACATATTAAAAAGAGACGAGTTTTATAATATTAATCGTTTGCTTTTTGAAAAAGTTATTTATTTATTTTTGCAAATGATTGATTCACTCAGCTTCATTGTTATAATTGACGAAAAATAATGGAGAAGTATTTAAAAAAAATCCAGAAAACTTTAAAAGAGATGAGCAAAATGGATAAATTTTAAGTAAAATAAAAAAAATCCACATATCATTATATGAAAAATCTGTGATCAGGAAAATATTTTTACTTAGTTTTTTTTAACTAAGCATAATGCCTGCAACCGTATTTTTTCCATCGTGTTTTCATGTCTTTGTTTTGAACTATTTGCAATTTTTATAAAAGCATAAAATAATTTTAAAGAAAGCTGCGCAAGTTGAATTAAGTTAAAGTTGCATTAATTTAAATCAAATTGTTCAAGTCTTATGAGTTTATCAAAAGTTGACTTAATATAAAAGTTCAGAAGTAATTTGGGAATATTGAATTTCTTAATAACTATTTTAAAATTCAAAATTTTGTAATCGTTTTCTACTATCGTTGGGAAATTATTTTTCGTCTGTTATCTTTGTGTTTTACTGTTTCGACTGTCGTTTTTCGGCTGTATCTTTTTAGATAAATTGTTACAACTAATGTTAGCCACTAAAAAATAAAATCACTCAGTAAGTTTTTTTACAGTGTTTTTCCTTATTGTTTATTAATATACTATTAATTTATTTTGCCAGTTGTTATAATATTATTCATCATAATGTGTATAACTGCGTTATGTCTTATGAGTTCCGAATAGCATTTATTTATCAAAAATTTGTTTTACAGAACGCGTTTAGGTACACAAAGCATAATAGTGCTTAGTGATTATCATTCTGCGAAAGCTGCATTTGCTCAGACTGCATTTATGGGAAGACCACCGGTCTCACTTTTCGAACTGACCAAAGAGACCTTAGGTAACAATACTATAACTACTAATCATAATTTATTTTTCTTATACATCCTACTATTATTTTAAGGTACGAATCCCATTTTTCTCTTCTGACAACTATTTGAAAATATTTGTTTGGTTTAAGTGTCTGATGAAGAATTTAATTGCTTAAGAAATAAAATGATCTTATAAATTGAGTCAAATGCAAAAGAATTAAATAAATGTCAGGAAAAAAAAACAGTGGGAAGATATATCAGTAGTGTGGTTTGAGGTCATGAATTCGTATTTAACTAAAACAACTAATTTAAATACTGAGACTAAATATAGCTGTTGTTGTAAATTAAATCCGTATTCTGCGATACTTCATACTTAGGAGAATTATGGCAAAACAGCCTTTCTAACGCTTGGTAAATATTTAGAATGCTTTTTCTAGTAAAATTGCTAAAATATTTACTAATGAGTTTAACTAGGTGGATTTTAGTTCCTGTTGTAGTGATGAAAAATTGTTTATTTTCACTGGACTATTAAAATTTTTTTGCATCGAAAAGTTTTATACTGCTGTTTTGCACCTCCCTGGCTTTACCACTTCACTCTAATTTCTTAGTTCTCCCGCTTAGCTTCTCTGTTTTGCTGTTTATTTCTTCATGATCACAGTAACAATGAATCCCTAAATGAATGAACTACAGAGCCTCTAAATTCCTGCACGATATCCCTACTCTGCGGCTCCCAATTGATTCGCCCATACTGGAATTATTATTAAGGTAGAAGTAAAAAATAAAGAAAGAACAGTATTTCCTTCAGAACAATTTCTCTAAGTTCTCGATTCCAATAACTGGTTTAGAAAAACTTTTTGCTCTTTTTGGGACACTATGTAATGGTTTATTACTTTTTAGAAACTGGTGCATTTAATAAATTGCCATGGACAGATCAAAAAAGGTTCTCTCTTCACCTTCTAAGAGATCTGGGATTCGCCAGAACACAAATGGAAGAACATTTACAAGTAAGTTATTTAAGTTGAATCTCGTATCAAATTCCAGATTTTACATGATGATAATCTCTATGTCAATATCAACCTATAATAATGTCATGACTGGGCTCTTGAGTGATAAAAGTAATTTTTTTGAGTTATTTTTCTTAAAATTGAGAGAGTATGATTTAAAAATTTACTTTAACAGAAGTTAGTAGAAACTAACGCGTTTGAACTCAAAAATCAACTCAACTCCCCGATCCTTGAAAACTGATAAAATATTCACTTTTTTATAGGTTTTAACCTCATAGTTCTAAGCCTAAATAATTTGGTAATTAGCTTTATTCATTTCTCATAAATGTTTTATTATTGTTTGCTGTTTTTGGCCCATTTCTGCATTTTAGATCAAACAGTATCATTCCTGAATTTCCCGACTGAGGATTTCGACGATTAAAGACTTGTTTTTACCTGCTAAAAAAGCAATTTCCCTCCTTGTTATTCAATAAAGAAAGGTTGCATGGACATATTGAGGAGACAGATCCATAGATCATTTCGCGAACTCGAAACACTCGATCTGTCATACCTTTAACATCAAGTAATAAATACGCTTTCAACAGATTTAGTTTTTTCCATTTTTTGTTTACTAGAAAACACTATTTTAAACAGTTTGAAAACAGTTTTAAGTTTGTTTTTAAATTTAAATATTTAATTAATGCTATGGATTAAACTATCAAATTGATAGTTTAATCTATAGCTATCAAATCTATAGTTTAATCTAGAGCAGTGTTTCCCAACCTTTTTTGTACCATGCCCCACCTAAGCCTTTCAAAAATTCTTATGCCCCCCTATGTAACAT